GGGCGGTGGCGGCGACGGCGAGTCCCGGGGCCGGCGGGACGGACGGGAAGCCCCGTACCTCCCCTAAATCCGTCAAGTTCCTGTTTGGGGGCCTGGCCGGGTAAGCTCAGGCCCCAGGGATGGGAAAGGAGGAGGAAGGGATGGGACAAGGGACTGGGCCCAATTCATCTCTTGGGTCTATTGCAATACACTGAGCCAGCGCGGGGTCAACGTGATCCACAGTGTTTTGCGAGGTCCTTGATGGGCTGCCAGGATCTTTTCACCCATTGCAGGGCCATTGCACAACCTCTGCCGAGCCACCTGAGTTTCCTAACCCATTGCTTGACTCCCATCTGGCTGTTTGGGATTCCAGGTCATTAAATGGTTCCTCCAAGGCTTGGAGTCTCAGGTCATGGCTGCCCTCCTCCTCCCCTCCCTGGATCAGACTGCATGCAGGCCCAGGCAACTGCTTGGCTCCCATGGAGCTTTTTGGAGCACTTTGATTGCATGGCCTCTACTGGATAACTGTACTTTTCAAGCCTATTGCTCTTGGTTACACACACACTCTAATGCACATACCCACGTCTCCTGAATCCTTAATGCCATGGCAGGCCCTGACTTTTGTAACCCCTTGCTATCAGACTCCAGGTCTGGAACACCTGACCTTTGACTCTATGCCTGTCTTCCTCCAGGATGGGAGCTACTGTTTTTGTGCAGCCCCTGGACCTGGTGAAGAATCGGATGCAACTGAGTGGAGAAGGGGCCAAGACTCGGGAGTACAAAACCAGCTTCCATGCCCTCACCAGCATCCTCAAGGCAGAAGGGCTCAGGGGCATTTACACAGGGTACGGGGGCCTCAGGATGACCCCATAGGGTGTGGGGTGGCAGCTCCAGATCTTGGACTGACGTGCTGACCCCTCCACTCCCCAGGCTGTCAGCTGGCTTGCTGCGCCAGGCCACCTACACCACTACTCGCCTTGGCATTTATACCGTACTGTTTGAGCGCCTGACTGGGGCTGATGGTACACCCCCTGGCTTTTTGCTGAAGGCCCTGATTGGCATGACCGCGGGTGCAACTGGTGCCTTTGTAGGAACACCAGCTGAGGTGGCTCTTATCCGCATGACTGCTGATGGCCGGTGAGTTCAGATCTGAACCTGACCCCAGCCCCATTCCCTGGAGTCTATAATGAAGAGACAAGTTTCTATTTTTTTTTTTAAGTTTTTCTTTATTTCTTCCACAAGTAAGAGACAGAGAGAGACACACAGCACCGCTCCGCTCCCCCCCCCACCATGTTGTAATCCACCCCCAGCTTCAACCAGCCCTGGATCATGGCATGAGTGTCTGGCATACTCAGGGAGGTATCCAGACCTGAACTAGTAACCTTCCTGTGTGGGATTAGCTTACAGAGTGCTGCGTTTTACCACTGTGCCACTGTCTGGCCCAAAAGAGACATGTTTCTTATCCTAGATCCAGAGCAGAGAATTGACCTCTTCTGGTTTTTCTTTCTTTGCTTCTATGGGGCAGGGTGGGCTGTCCTGATCTCTGCCCCTCTCTGCCTTCCTGCCAGTCTTCCAGCTGACCAGCGCCGTGGCTACAAAAATGTGTTTAATGCCCTGATTCGAATCGCCCGGGAAGAAGGTGTCCCTACACTGTGGCGGGTGAGTGAGAGAGCTGGAGGCTTGGGGGTTGTGGTGACATCAGCAGAGTCTAGGTCTCGCTGTGGACTCTGACTATCCTGATAGCTTCCAGTCGGTCCCTTCCCCTCAGCTCTGTTTTGGTTTCACCACTGCCCTGGGGGCCTGGACTCTGCTGCCTGTAGGGCTCAGGCATTTCTTTTTTTTATTTTTTGTTTCTATTTATTCATTTATTTTTTAACTTAACCAGAGAGAGACACAGAGAGAAAGAGGGAAAGTGAAAAAGCAAGTCACCAGGTCCAAGACTCAAACCATGGTCAGCCACGTGGCAGTGTCCCGCGTCTTAACCACCACGCCACCTGCTGGTCCCGGGTGCAGGCATTTCTGACTCCTCCTGTACTCCCCTGTCTCCAGGGCTGCATCCCTACCATGGCTCGGGCTGTCGTCGTCAATGCCGCCCAGCTTGCCTCGTACTCCCAATCCAAGCAGTTCTTGCTGGACTCAGGTGAGACCCAGAGCTGGGCCTCCCAACTTCCAGCCTGGCCTGGGCCCCCTCTGAGCTGACTCTACCCTGTGCTTTACCCATCCCCCAGGCTACTTCTCAGACAACATCCTGTGCCACTTCTGTGCCAGCATGATCAGTGGCCTCGTCACCACTGCCGCCTCCATGCCCGTGGACATTGTCAAGACCCGGTGAGTATATAGGCCTGGGCCTGGAGGGGGTGGAGATGACCCATTTTTGTGTCTCTCATGCCCCGTCTCTTCTTTAGGATCCAGAACATGCGAATGATTGACGGGAAGCCTGAATACAAGAATGGGCTGGTGAGGAAGCAGCACTGGGCTTGGACTAGAGTATTGGATGCCTGGGAAGGGCTGGGAGGGTTGCTGGGTAAAGGGGATAGAGCTCCAGAGGCCAAGTCCTAGCCCCTGTGCCCTGTCTGCCTGTCTGTCTAGGATGTGCTGGTGAAGGTCGTCCGCTATGAGGGCTTCTTCAGCCTGTGGAAGGGCTTCACACCGTACTATGCCCGCCTGGGCCCCCACACCGTCCTCACCTTCATCTTCTTGGAGCAGATGAACAAAGCCTACAAGCGGCTCTTCCTCAGTGGCTGAGGCAGCAGGGTCCCCAGAGCCCAGGTGCCTGGGCTCCCTGGGCTCCTATTTGACCGCTGCTCCTGCAGTCACTCTGCCCCAGTGGCCTGGACTCTGCTGCCCCAGGCCCCTTTATTTATTTCCCCTCCACAGTGTGGTTTCCTCCTTTGTGGCAAAGGACTTCGGTCTGTCCTACCCCCCTACTCAGCTTTCCCTGCCTGTCCTGATTCTTACGACTGCTCTGTCCCTGGCTATTCCTTGCAGGGAGCTGGAAAACTCCCTACGGATTTCTGGCTCCCTCTTGGGTGTTAGTTTCAGGGTACATAGGACAACAGATGATCCCCCTTCTCAATGGGGAAACCAAGGCAAAGCTGAGGAGACAGGAGAGCGCAGAAGCAGTCAAGATGGTCACAGGGTCTGCAATGGGAGGATATGGCCCTTCCTCCCTCCACCTCACTGAGGACTTAATCAATAAATTGGATTGATGACACCACCCCCAAATCTGAAGAGTTGTGGGAGTCAGGAGGGGGAGGAGACTGGATGGAGAAGCTGGTGCTCCTGGAAAACAGAAACTGGAGTTTCTAAGAAAACTATGAAAAAAAAAAAAAGAAAGAAAGAAAAGCACCTGCTGGTTGTCTGCAATGCTATGTAAATTAATCTTGCCACAGCATCCAACGGGGCTGGGGAACCTAAATTCTGCATGCTGTTTGTTGCTTCACAAGAGTCACCTCACATAATCCCCAGGAAAAGCCTCTGGCCAGGCCATTCCTGCAATCTACAGAGGGAAGGGATAAAGATATTCTGAGGTGGGAAGCAGATCTTTATGGGGTGGAAGGGCCAGGCCCCCAAAACTCAAAGGCTTTAGGAAAAAGAGGGTGGGCTTCAGGCTGGGAGGGTAGCTGCTTTCCCCATTTCTTTAGGAGATGTGTGCTTCCCATGCCCTGCCCTCAAGGAGCCTGGAAACCTCTTGGGGCATGAAAGGGTATGGGAAGGTCATACTGGAAGGAGTACTGGGCAGTGTGAGGCCGAGGGCGCCAGGCCAGGTCAGGGGACAGGCAGGCAGCAGGTGGGAGCTGTCCCTCGGCAGAGTCTTGTCAACAGAAGTGGCGTTCAACACCCTAATGCTCTGCTGCAGCTTCCCTACTCCTCTGCCGGGAGGGCTACTCCAAGACGCTTGGAGCCTGGACCTTGGCCTTTAAGGAGTTCCAGGTCCAAAGGGGACGCTAACACAGGGGCAGCTCAAAGTGCTGGGGCCGTGAACTGTGGCCTGCTGACTTGGACACCTGGCCCAGCCTCAAAGGCACGCCTGCGCACAGTCCTTTAGGCTGGTTGGGGAAGGGGCAGGGACAGCACTTAGAGCAGAAGCACAACTGGGGAGCAGGCGTGTGTAAGCTGGCCATGAATGGGACACAGACTGAAGTGTCCTGTGAGAGAAGCTGAACTGCTAGGAGAGGTCAGTGTAAGATAGTCCTCAGCTGCTCGAGTGTCTTCTACCTTGGGAGGAGTTTGAAGGAGAAATGTCAGATTTTCAGGTTGGAAAGATTTAGTACCCTCTAAAGGAGAGGAGTGTCCATGGAGCCAGAAGGGCTCAGCCTTTACTTCCATCTTTGGAGCCCTAATCCCTGGCTTGAGCTGAAAGCAAAGCAGAAGAGGGAATGGCAGAATTTAGACCCAGAGGAGAGAAGGGAATTCCTCATGTCTGCATCCTAGCTTGAAAACAGGAAAATTGAGTCCAGTCAAACCCACCAAGATAGCACCCACTGCCAGGCCCAAACCCTTCTGTCCTACCAACTTGGGCAGCGAGGAGAGCTGCATTTCTGAAGCTGCAGCTGCAACCAAGCACCCACCTTGTCCCTGGCACTATGGTCTGGAGGCAGCTAGGTTTCAGCAGTGGTTAACCTCCAGGGAGACTTCACAGTTCTTGAGCTGGATCTGAGGCTTGGGGTGGACTAGAGGGTGGTCACCCCTGGAAAAGAGAAGAAGGCATCCTGGGCAAGAGAGTGCAGGCTGCAAACTGAGGTCTGTGGGGTGAGTAGTGACCAGGAGAGGGACAGTTGGGAACTTGGGGATTCTCAAGACAGGTGCCGCAGCCACTCTTATTCTTAAAAATTAAAATGTGGGGCCAGTAGCTAATGTGATTAAGGTGCTGGACACTCCCTCATGGCTGACCATGGTTCGAGTCCCAGACCTGGTAGCTCGCTTTCTCACTTCTCTATGTGTCTGTCTTTCTCTAGCGAAATTAAAGTGAATGAATGAATAAATAATTTTTTAAAAATCTTGGGACCAGCAATTAGCATAATGACTATGTGGCTGGACTCCCATGTAGTTGACTGTGTCAAGTCCTGGACCTGGTGACTTAAACACGCTGGGCACATGTATGCATGCTCAAGATCCCGAGAAGAGAACAGAGGAGAAGGAATTGTGGCGTGACCATCTCCCCTCAGGGGGTGGGGGAAATAATTTTTAAAAAAATCTTGGGACCAGCAGTTAGCGTAATGGGATGTCGCTGGACTCCCATGTAGTCAACCACAGTTTGAGTCCCAGACCCAGTGGCTTAAATTCATGCCAGGTATGTGTGCGTGCGTGCCCAAGATCCTGAGAGGAGAATGGAGGAGAAGGGATTGCGGTGTGGCCATCCCTTCTGGGGGGTGATTTCTTGCTTTCTGTCTCTCTGGTAAGCATACTTGCCCTATAGGAAAAACCTCTCCAAAAAAATTATTTTTTAAATTTTGAGCTGCCAGGTTCTACATGGCTGACCCTGATTGAGACCCAGCCCCAGTGCCTTGAAAACACACTGGGTGCATCATGCATGTGTGCCCAAAATTTCAACAGGATGGAAAGATGAAGAGAAGGGATTGCAGCATGACCATGTTCTGTTGGGGTATGCCTCCCCTCCACCCCATCTCACTCTGTCTCTCTCAGGCAAGTGCATGCCTCTAGCAATTAAAAAAAAAGAAAAAGCTAATTTTTTTTTTATTATACAAATAATATACAGTAGTGATAGGAAACTAGAAAATGCTAAGCAGAGAAAATGAAAATTAAACTACCCATATTGAAAACCCAGAAGCAATCAGTGGTCACATTTTCACAAAGTCCTTTCCGAATTTCCTCTGCATGGGTGCATGTGGGAGCCATGCTCTATTCTGTTTATTTTTATCCTAAAAGTTCTTCCTAATAGTGTTGGTAATAACTGTGTTATCTCTCAGCCCCACATGCAACACAGGGAACATTGTTCCAAGACCCGCCCTCTACTCCCATCTCTACCCTTCCTAATTTGCTGGGTCTGAGATTGTGTGGCTGTGGTGTGAAGAGGGGGCTTCTGATTAAAGAAAGGTAACTAAGACCTCCCCGTGAACCTGTGCTCCTTACCTACCCTCCCCAGCTAGATTCCAATAGCAGAGCCTATCAGAGCTTCTCTCAGGGTCCCCAAACCTCCCACCCTCAGAGGCTGTGGCCAGAGTACCTAATGCCCACTGTGCCCAACAGGTCCTGGCCACGGCCATGACTCAGGGCTGAGGGCCGCCGTCCTGCTACCAGAGGCCCAACACGGCCATTAGGCCGTACCCACAGGAAGAGACTGGAGCGGAAAATAGGGAGTGACCCTTGGAGGAAGAGCAGCCAGGCCCGGGGCACAGTCACTTGCTTTCCCTTCTGCACCTCCAGGTGTGTGGTTTGTGTGGCTGGGGCCAGGGCAACAGGTTGGCCAGAGTGCAGGACCTGGGGCTTCACATGCTGGACCCAGGTCAGCAGCAGGATAAGGACAACAGAGGCAATCAGGAGCCAGAGGATACCCAAGATGTAGAAGGCCAGGGAAAGGAGGCAGCAAAAGTCAGGGTTGAGAAAAAGGTCTTTTCTGGAGCTATCCCAATTCCCTTCGGCCAGCCCATGGACCTTTGGGAGATCGACAAATTCAGTAGTAATTACTGTGGCGGATTCCGAAGTAGCAGAGGTTGAGGTTGGTTCTGTTTTAATAAAGAGTGTGGTGGGCTCTGGGGTGGTCAGGGCTGTGGTGGGCTCTGGGGTGGTTGGGGCTGTGGTGGGCTCTGGGGTGCTCGGGGCTGTGGTGGGCTCTGCGGTGGTCGGGGCTCTGGTGGGCTCTGGGATGGTCTTGGTTGTGGTGGGCTCTGGGGTGGTCAGGGCTATGGTGGGCTCTGGGGTGGTCAGGGCTATGGTGGGCTCTGGGGTGGTCTCGACTGTGGTGGTCTCTTGGGCGGTCGGGATTGTGGTAGTTTTAGTAGTGGGTTTTGGAGTTTTGGAAAACATGATGGATTCTATGGTAGTTGGGAATGTGTTAGAACCTGGAATCCATCTGGTTGGAAATGTGGTCTGTTCCTTAGTGTATTCTTGGGTTGGAGACGAGAAGAGCACTTGGCTGTAGAGAGGAGTAGTAGACTCTGAGTAGAGCAGACCCCACCGGGTGGTATGGGCTTTGGTGTTGGTAGAGATCTTGACCACACTCCATGTGGCATGCACCTTACCATCCTTAAGGTCCTCTTCTTCATAGTCATCATAGATGTCTGTATTATCCCCATCACCCAGGGTTGGGCAATCCTTTCCTGAGAAGGTGTAGACAGGCATATCGTGTATATTGGAACATCGCACAGTGGTCACATTGGAGGTTGTGCTCTTGACATCCATACCCTCCTTCCACAAGTAGACATTTTGGGCATTGTCCTTCAGCCAGCGTTGGAAATGGAGGATCTCGCAGTCACAGAACCACGGGTTGCCATGGAGAAAAGCATATGGCAGGAGGCGGTCCCCAAAGAAGCCCTTTGGTATATTGTGCAGCATGTTCCCTTGGAGATAGAGGGTATCAAGTTTATCTAACCCATCTAGGAGCCCAGGGGGCAGCTCAGTCAATTTGTTGTCAGCCAGACTGAGCTTCTTCAGCCGGGTGGTAGGCGCCAGGAGCCCAGGGGGCAGGGTCTTCAGCAGATTGCCACGCAGGTAGAGCTCTTGGAGTTGGCTCAAGCCATCCAGGACACCAGGAGATAACGAGGTCAGCTTGTTGAAGGAGACGTACAGGATGGTGAGGGCAGGCAGTGCCTGCCCTAATGCGGGCAGTCTTTTCAGGTTATTGTGGCTTAGATCCAGGGTCCCCAGCAGTGGCAGCACCCCATCAGTCTGTAGTGTGGTCAGCTCACTTTGATCCAGGTACAATTTAGTGAGGTGAGTGAAAGATACCAGGGATCCCAAGGAGAAGGTACCAAGGGGGTTCTCCCTGAGGTAGATGGTATTTGCATCTGATGGCAGGCCCAAGGGCAACTTTGTCAGCTTCTGCTTCTCACAGTTCACTTCCACCTTGTTGGCCCCTTTGAAGATCTCACAGTTGGGGTGGGAATAGGAGAGGCTTGGCAACAGGAGCAGCAGGAGGATGAGAGGCATGGGGACCTGTGAGCAAGGGGGACTTGAGTGGGCTCCCCATCAACCCTCTGCAGCTCCCAGGACCCTTCTAGGGCCCACACCTTTCATCTTCCCTGCTCCTCTCTCCCACCTTTGCCCTCAAAAGCCTAAGGTCCTCTGTTCTCCCTCCCTCAGACAACACCCCCCCTCCCCAGTCCCCACCCCAGCTTACAGGCAGGCAGAAAGACGTCTGGATGCTCAGAGCTTCTTTAAGGGAATGACTTGGTCCTTCTCTATTCCAGCTCCAGGGAGGCCTTGGCCAGGGGCAGGAAGCGGGTAGGGGTGAGATGGAAACGCCAGTCCGATAGGGACTCCCAGACCCAAGGAACAGCCTCTCTCTCAGACACAGGCCCTTATCAGCCTTCCACCACTTTCCCCCAGGCTCTCCTTTTGGCTCTGTGCTCTCCCACTTTCCTCCCACACTGGGGAGATCAGAGGTGGAGGCCGACCACCACCCTCACCCATCCTTTTATAACCCTCCAGGATGCCACCTCCTCCCTTTTGCAGCTCCATGCTTTAGAGTTCCCTAATTTTCATCCTCACCAGCCTCACCTCCCTCTGCCTTTCCGTCCCTCTAGCTAATTTCTCCACCCACTATGCCACCATTCAGTCACCCGTGTCCTCCATTCCTTTGCATCCACTGGATACTTGTTTGTTATGCTTTTCCTTGATTTTTGCAGCTGGCATCCCTTCTTGGGACTCCCACCTTGGGACTCATTTTTTGCCCCCACACAAATGACACTGTACTTTTTTTTTAAGAGATATTTTTGCTATAGGGCACGTGCATTCACCAGAAAAACAGAGAGAGACAGAAAGTGAGAAATCATCCCCTGGGGGGATGACCACACCGCATTCCCTTCTCCTCCAGTCTCCTCTCAGGATTTTGGGCATATATGCACGTGCGTCTAGTGTGAGTTTTAAGTTACTGTGTCTGGGACTTGAACCACAGTCGACTACATGAAGTCCAGTGACGTTCTGCCATCTGCTGGTCCTGATGCTGTAATTTTCCTGGTTTTCTTCTTCCCAGCCTGGTTGGTTCTTCTCCATCTCGTTTGTGGATTCTTTCTATTGACTATGTGGTCCGAGTCTCCACTTGATGGCTTAGAAACCACACCAAGCATGTGTGCACATGTGTCTAAAATCCAAACAGGAGGGAGAGACGAAAGAGAACAGACTGCAGTGTGACCATCCTTCCCACCCCCCTGGGGAGGTGCTTTCTCACTTTCCTCTCTGTCTCTGGCCAGCACACAAGCCCTCTGGCAAAAAATCAATCAATCAATCAATCAATCAATAAAAGAAGGCCTACAGGCAAGCTCTGGGGACACAGTAACTGTTCAGGAGAGATAGGGTTCGAATCCCTGGGTCAGCTTTAAAACATACAGGACACGTGCGTGTGCGTCCAAGATCCTGAGGACCTGGAGAACTGGGGAGAAAAGATTATGGCTTGATGACACCCTCTAAGGAGTGCTTCTCTCTCCCTTGTGCACATGCAAGTGCTCTCTATGTGAAAAGCGTAAATAAACTTAAAAATAATAATTATTTTATTTAACTTTATTAATTATTATTATTATTTTCCAGTTTGAACAGAGAGGCAGAGAGAGAGAGAAAATGAGAAAGCAAGCCACCACATCTGGAACTTGAACTGCAGTAGGCCATGTGGGAGTCCAATGCCCTTCACCACCACACCACCTGTTGGCCTCAAATAAACTTTTGAAAAAGAGAGAGACAGCACCTCCAACAGGATCTTTCTTGATGCCACTACTCACTCCCAGCTCCAGTCAGCCCCGGATTATGGGCGCACGTGTGCCAATGTACTCAGGGTGGCCTCTGGATGTGAAGCCAGGACCCTCCTCTGGGGCCAGCCTCACAGAATATTGTGTTTTACTGCTGTGCCACCATCCAGCCCTGCCTTCACTTTTTGTTTTTTTAGAGAGAGTTTTTTTGCTGTAGGGCACATGTGCTCGCCAGACAGACAGAGAAAGAAAGTGAAATCATCCCCAGGGGGGATGGCCATGCCGCAATCCCTTCTCCACTCTCCTCTTGGGATCTTGGGCATGCACACGTGTCTGGCATGGATTTCAAGCTGCTGGTCTGGGACTTGAGCTGCAGTCGGCCATGTGGGAGTCCAGTGACGTAACCATTACACTATCTGCTGGTCCCTGCCTTCACTTTTGATCATTTTCTCTCTCTCTCTCTCTTTTTTTTTTTTTTGGTTTTGCTATAGGGCAGTGTGTGCTTCTGTGGGGGAGTGGGGAAGGAAAGCAAGAAATCACCCCCCGGGGAAATGGCCATGCAGCAATCCATTCTTTTCTTTGGTTTTTGGACATGCAGGCACATGTGCCTGGTGTGCTTCCTAAACTAATGGGTCTGGGACTCGAAACAGTCAGCCATGTGGGATCCAGCCACCTTAATTAACCTCCATGCCACCTGCTGACCCAGTCATTCTCATTCTTATGCATGAACTTTCTCCCCTTTCGACATCCCCTTCTGCCTAACTTCCTTATCTGGCAAGTTCCAATTCAGAATGCTTTCCTCTCAAAAGCTTTTTCTGATTTTCTAGAACCGGATGAGGTGTGTCAGCTCCCGTACCTGTTAGTTCATTGCCCGCCTACTGTTCCCCAGGAGAGGTGCTAGGCAACCAGCTGAGTCTGCCCTGGTCTGCTTACATGACAGGACAAGTAGTAGACACTTGAGAGAGGCAGTTAATTAATAGGTTTGCAGTTTGTTTGTTTGTTTATGTGTTTTAATTTTGCCAGAGGGCACATGCACTAGCCAAAAAGAGACAAAGAGAGAAAAAGAAGGAAAGTGAGAAAGCACCCCCCCCATGGGGGATGATCATGCTGGAATACCTTCTCCATTTCTCCCTCTTGTTGAGATTTTGAGATACACACGCAAATGTGCCTGGAGTGTTTTTCAAGCTGCAGGATCCAGCACTTGAACCATGCAGTTGGCTGCCTTAACAATCATATCAAAGGCTGGCTCACCTTGCCATTTTTATAATTTTGTTTTCTTGTTTTTTGTTGTTTTAGAGATTTTTGCCATAGGATGTGTGTGCACACTGGGGACACAGAGAGAGAGAGAGACAGTGAGAGAGAAAGTGTTCCCCCGGGAGGGATAGCCGTGCCACAATCCCTTCTCCATTCTCCTCCTGGGATCTTGAGCACGCACACACACATTTGGTGTGATTTTCAAGTCACTGGGTCCAGGACTCGAACCGCGTTCAGCCATATGAGAGTTCAGTGACGTAACCACTACACCATCTGCTGGCCCCACCATTTCTGTAATTTGCCAGCTGCAAAAAATATTGAAAAATGGGCCAGCAGGTGGTATGGTAGTTAATGCAGTTGGATCCCACATGACTACACAGTTTGAATCCTGGACCCTGCAGCTTGGAAAACATGCAGGGTGCATGCATGCGCCTTTGCCCAAAATCCCAAGAGAAGAATGGAGAAGAAGGGAAAATACATGGTTGTCTCTAATGGAGAGCTTCCTTGCTTTCCCACTCTTCTCCCTCTCCTTTGGTCTCTCTGTCTGTCAAATGCACATGTCCTATAGCGAAGTAAACAAAACAAAGCAAAATTATTGGAAAATGTGAAGAAAACAAGACAGTGTCAGAAAGTATTGTGGGCGGTTACATAGAGAGAAGCCATGAAGTGAAGTGAGAACTCTGAGATTTGATTTTTATTGCATTGGTATCAGTTTTGGTTGTAAGCAACAGAAAATGTTCAGATTAATTTAGATTGAAAAGTAATTTATGTGGGGCCAGCAGGTGGTGTGGTGGTTAAAGGTGCTGAGCTCCCACATGGCCAACGGTGGTTTGAGTCCCAGACCTGATGGCTTGCTCTCACTTTCTTTCTCTCTTCTCACTCTTGCTCTGTCACTCTCTAGTCAAATTAAAAATAAATAAGTAAATAAATTTAAAAAGTTAAATTAAACATATATATATATATATATATATATAACTGAGGTGACTGGGTCCCGCATGGCCAGCTGTGCAGTTCAAGTCCTGGACGAAGTGGCTTGAAAAACATTCTGAGTGTAGGACCAGCAGTTGGCGTAATGGCTATGTCACTGGACTCCCACGTAGTCAATCGTGGTTTGAGTCCTGGACCTGGTGGCTTAAACTCAT